AAGTATCAAATGCGCCGCTAAGGAGTAAGAAATAAAATAAGTATCTGCATTAATACGGTGTGAGGGAATAGTTGGGTACTTGGACTACTTAGAGTGTCTAGGATAGAGTGAATTTTTATGAGGAGGTGGGTACTACGAGTAGTTGGTAGATTTTTAAAACTAAGACTCGCTCATATTATTATATACGTATAGGTATAGTTGATTATCTTGCCAAATCCGGATGGTCTATACCTACTTCCAAACGAACGAATTATCATTTTTGATAGTGAACAAAAATAAATAGCGCTTTAACTAATAAATGATGTATGAGTTATAAGTTATATTATATCCGTCTTGACCGTCTTTGTCCAAGAAAAAAGAACAAATATAAAATACAGCGCTATTTGTCGACCAAACGATATCGATATGGACACCTAGCTYTGTGATCTAATAGTATACCACTATACCTAKTATACTTTTTTAAATATATCATAGTATCATACATTATTATGTAATTATCGATTTATTAATTTTATTTTTAGTCCAAGTTTTTATATTAAACTGTCTAATCTAATTACTAAAACCAGTCAGTATTAATAATACTGTATTACACGTTTGCAACTGTATAATTTTAAACATATTTATTAAATAGTAAGAGTATAGTTTGGAGTTTGACTACGATGATTCAAAAACAAATGTTGAAAAAACATACACACAGATATCTAGATATAAATCTAAACATTTTTACATTTTTTTTACAATACGCTGTACAATTTTTTTCTGCCTAGGTGAAAAATATTTGGTATTAATCTGGCACTGCCTAGCATGTACGATGTATCTATAGTACGCAGTTCTCATCACTAATTTTAAGTTTGCCCTTTATATTATATATACATTATACATATAATGTATAACACATTACCTACTTAATATATTATAGGCATATCGAAAATTATAATAAATAATATTATCATGTTTATCCAAATTCAACAATTTTTAAAATTTTACAACACATTTATATAATTAGACTCGAATCGAGCTTATCGATATATATACCTGTAGTAGAGACTGCTGCAGGTAAGAAAGTTGGGTAACTTGATGAGTGTTGAAACATTCCACACTGTGATAATCCGTTCGATTTCCACGCTGCAGAGTACTCCAAGAGACCGCCAAAACTGGAGCCTATAATATAGACATGTTTTATTTAGCATAGGTTAAATGTACAWTKAATACAATTWWAAATCCTKTTCATATTTTGTTTTCAATGATCATCATCTAGCTTACTTATATACCTCATCTAAGGTTAGGAGTATATTTCCAGACTACAAACCGCCGTACTATTATATATATAATATAGATTAACATATTCTATGTATAAATTTTATAATGACGCACTTCGGTAAAATATTTTCTGTTTTTTTAATTTTTTAATATAATTTTGAGTAACGAATTACGAATTATACGTACTTTAAATTATTAACATATTGGCAATCAATAAATTTTTGAAAAAAAAAACGGTAGGGAGCCAATTCAAAGGTACTTAGTAAGGGTAAAATATTGGCTACCTGTATTGGGGAGCCAATTCAATTGCTCCGCATATTCTATCGATACAGACACGAGACTCGATTTGATGCATTACCAAGATTATATATGCAATAGACAATAATGATTGTTTTAAAATAACCAAAAAAATCAGTTGACATTGAAACAAGTTAAAAAGTTAAATTATAATTATTGTGATATTTTTATTTTTATGTATATAATAAAATAGTTTTTAAAAAACTCATGTCTTTTTATTGTTATAATTATGTTATAACATATTGATATGATTATTACAATTATTATTTTTGACTATACAATATTAATAGTATTAATTAATATTATCACCCACTTCTAAATGACTAAATCTTAATTTATAAATATTATAATATATCAAGGATGGCGAATCTCTWTTGGGTCTAAATTTTTGGAATCAAGGATTTGACAATTTTTCACGTACTCAATGTTTGTATACATTAAATAGAACACAATTAGTTTCTTTGACTTTTTTACTAGCAACTACATTATATGAAAATCATTATCTATCACAATTTTGATTTTTCGAGTGCCATTGAAATTTGTCAAACGTACTACTTTTGGCCCGTGGGTTCGCCACCCTTGTTATATATAGTTCGTTTTTACTGTATAATAATAGTGTACCTTTCTATTTGATAAGTATTTTACTCACCAGCTGTAAACGGAGGTTCTGGGTGAACGACGTTCGTATTCGACCTGGGTAAAAGGGGTTGTTCAACATTCGGAGACTTGCAACCAGGCGTGATGGTCGTTAGTGTGGGGTTGTTCCTCGACAGACTACTTCTCTCGTTCCGTCTGAATTTCGCCCTCCGATTTTGAAACCAAACCTGATCGGACGCACAATATCTGAATTTAGTGTCTATAATATTATATACCATACATGATACATTCCAGATGTATGTCATTTGCTGTATGTTTTAGTGACTGCTAATTTAATTTCGATCMATGTAAATTATATTATGTTGATTATCAATTCCACTTATTGGCAATAACCATTTGGAAATTTAAAAACGAGCGTGGACTCGTTACAATATTACATTGATCATACTAAAAATTTGCGAAATTAACCCGCGTAAATAATATATTTATTTTTAAGAATCATTTAACGAAGATTATTGCAATTTGCATGTATAATTCAGAGGTTGTTATGCTTATGCATCTTTGAAATAATGTCATATAAGGGCTTGATGGTGTGCAATCGCCAAACCAGTGATTGGTTTCAGACGCCACTCGCTAATGTGTTCTGCGATCAAATATCACTGGTAGTTCCCGAATGGGTGAACCCGAGTATTTACTATTTAGTGACGAATCCTCRGCCCACATAATACACATATTATGTTGTTAAAAACCAACCATGGCTTTGACTAATAATAAAAGAAAATTTTGTTTTATGAATTTTTTTATAATTTCGTATAGTCGGGTTCTACTTGTACGGATTTTTTAAATAGTACCATCATCACACACTTGTAWCTGAGTACCATATCTATGTTTTAGAACGTAGATATTAAACCATTTAGAAAAGATATAATAAATTATTAAACTATAATATCAAAAATAATTTTGCTATGAAAAAATAGTACGATT